CCACCAGTCATACAACCTCCAACTGGATGACTGTGTGAAGATTTGGGTTTTCTAGTCGACATGTTGAATCATGTCAACAAGCTGAACTTGGATCTCCAATCAAAGCCTAAAATGCTGCCTGACCTGCTCAGTGCCTTCATATGTATTAAAGTGAAGCTGTTCTCTCTCCATCCTCAGAAGGAACCTGATCCATTTCCATCCTCATCTGAGGCGACGGCAGCATCAGAGGTGAAAATAACCTGATATGCAACATTGACTGAAAATCTGCAGGAAGTTTTCTGAGCTGAACTAAAGCATCATTAACCCTTTCACTGCAGACTCAGACTGTTTAAAGGCTCTTGGTGCAGCAGCTTCACAGCTGGAGGTGACTGGACTTTATGAGGACGACAGAATGAAATGTTTGGAGAAAAAAAACAGAATCTAGGAAAGTTTTTTCCCCAGATAAATATCCAGTGTGAAACAGGCTGAACTGAAGCTAATGTCAATGTTTGGATCAACATTCGTCTGTGAATCAGTTCTTTCTGCTTTGCAGCAGGTTTAAATCTGAGCATCTGAACTTACTGACATGAAAGAGATGCTGGAACGGAGAACAGGCCACATTTAGAGACAGTTAGAAATAAAACCTGTCACTCAGAGAGAACCAAGAAAAAACATGTTGGGTTTTAGCTAATAAAATAATGAAAAGGAAAATATTAAAATTGCTGTTTGGCTCTTAAAGTGATAAAGAGCTCAGTGAGGATCTTAATGCAGAACTGGTTCACTGACTGTGTACTGGGATATTAGGACCGTTTATGTAATTAAATAATTTAGTTTATTAGACATTTGTTCTCTCTATGCTGTCAGTAGCAGAGCTGACATATTAAACTGTAATAAATATTTATTTTCTGAAAAAAAAATAAGAAAAATATGTAGCTAATGTTTGACAATGACTGATTTATCAAAGTTTATTGTCTTTATAATAAAATAAAAAAAAATACAAGAAAATTATTTGTTTCTTGTCTTGAAATGTTAAATGTACATTAAATTATGTAAATATGTTCTTTAATCAAACACTGTAAAAATGTTTCTGTTCATCAATGTTAATATAAAAATGATCAGAATAATTTCTATCAAATAAAACATTGTGCTCTTTATTCAGAAATGCCCCAAAACATTAAATAATCACATGAAAAGTTAGAAACTCTTTAGTCATTTCTCTGATTACCAAATATATTAATGTGTGAGAAAATGTGTCAATGACAGGAATTAATTTAAAATACTTTGTAGAACGGCACTTTGTGAAGTTCGGTCCATTTACCTGTATTAGCTTACTGGGAGAGATGCCACATTCAATATGGCGGATGGTGTTACGTATCACAGCAACGGGCCGACCTGCTTTATGACCTCTGACCCGCCCTATGAGGGGTCTATGTATTTCTGACTGAATATGTAGAGCAAAATGCTGTTTGACAGACGATCAGCTGGGATGTTGAATTTATATTTTCATAAAAAGCCTTGAAACAACATCTGTCTGTTGTCTTTTATTCATGAACTGAATCCTAAAGGAAATTTATTAGAAAGTCATTTCACTTAAAATCTAACAGACTTTCTGACTGATCAGAACCGGATCCAGATCATCAGCTCTGATGCTTTCAGCATAACCAGTTTTATTCTGTTATGGTTTCCACTAATTAATATCATTGTTATGTTATTGTTGAATACTCACAGATAAAGATCACATTGATATATTACTGATTTATTTCCAATTATCCAGCCTGACTGACTGAAGCTCTGTGGGGAAAATTTAGTTATTTAGTTATTTAGTTTGGTGGTTTATTTTTAGTTGTAATTTATTTTTACTTTTTAAGTTTGAAAAATAAATAGTTTAACTTTAACTTGTTCTCATTTTTGTCAGATGAAATAAAGTTAACAGAAAAATTATAGTTTTATGTTTAATTAGTTAAATGGAGCCGATGAAGAGATGCTGAATATGAAAATGTTCACATGGAATAAAATGTTGAACAAGCTCTGGATTTTACTGACTAATAATCAATCAATAGATCAATAATATTAGATCAATATAAACTCAGTAGGAAATCTGACATGTTTCCTCACTGACTGGAATTAATTTATTAAACTTATTGTGATTTATTAATAATGATCAGATTATCAATCAGCTGATCAGAGGGGAAAATCAATCAGTTTGAATATTTATTGGTCTTTACCTCGTTCCAGAGGGATGTCCTTCAAAGCCTTACGAGCTATACCCAGGTTTGTTCTGCAGATTGGTTGTTCACCCACAGCTGTTTCATAAGTTCCTTCCACGTAGCTGACATGATCAACAAACGGAGGCAGAGCTATGACTCCTTCTTTCTTCTTGAAGTCGGCGTACCACATCTCTTCTCCATCCAGAGCTAACATGCCCTCTCCATCAGAGTCTGAACATCCAACGATACGAAGGGCCTCATGTTGAACTAAAACACAGAGAGAGAAACTGATGAAGAACCTGCAGCAGAACCTCCAGAACCCAGCGGGTCCATCAGAACCAGTTTGGACCCGGTCAGAACCAGGTCAGAACCAGAGTAACTCACCATCAGCAGAGACCCAGAGGACCCCACTGAGGAAGAGGAGCAGCTTCATCTTCATCATTCAGACTCTCAGAGACTCTGAGAGAAACTGAAGCTGCTGCTGGAACCAAACGCTGGCAGCAGCCAATCAGAGGGCAGGAGGGCTGTGACGTCATCAGGAGCTAGGCAGAGGAAGGCTGGAGCTGCTGGAGACCAGGAACCGGTTCTGGTTCTAAACCAGCAGAACCAGATCAGAACCAGCTGATGGTTCTTTATTTGTAAACTTTGTTCATTTATTAGTTTTTATTTTTACTGAATTCTCTAAATTCTCTCCAGACCTGCTGGTTCTGATCCGGTTCTGATCACAGTCGGGTTGTTCTCTCAGTAAATCCAGTAAATGAGTTTTCATTTAGTTTCTCTCTGTAGAACCAGAACCGGTCCACTGGACCAGCAGAGACCTGGTACCGGGACAGAACCAGAACCTAAAGTTCCTACAGACAGAAAGACGTGAGGCAGAACCAGAACCAGAACCAGAACCTGGTCCTCTCTCTGATCACCAGCTTCAGCCTCTTCTACCCGGTAACCAGTGACTCAGAGGTCATGTGACTCTGTTCTGGTTTTTACAGCCGGTCCCATCAGACCCAGTTAGTTCCTCTGACTGGGAGACACAAAGAGACATGGATCCATCAGCGCTGGGCTGGTTGCTGGTCATCATCACCATCAACTCTGCAGGTATGATCAATAACCGATAATCACTGTGATCAATACTCTGGTAATAACTGATCAATAAGTTATTATATGGATCAATAGAGTTTAAACTGCATCTGTCTGTAGAGCAATAAGGATCAATAATCTGATCAATACTAAAATATCTGGATCAGTTCTGCTGGATAATCAATGATCCAGATTCATTACTGATAAACTGATCAATATTCTGATTAATTATTGATCATTAATAAACTAATTATCACTTCAGTCCATTAAATGTATTGATTGATAATCAATGTGATCAACTGAACATGTCAGATAGGATCAATAACTGATAGTCAATCAATCCTGAGGTTCTGTTCTGGTTCCAGACGGATTCAGAGAATATGCAGTGGATCGTTGTGTCTTTAACTCCACTGAGCTGAAGGACATCCAGTACATCAACTCCTACTATTACAACAAGCTGGAGTACGCCAGGTTTGACAGCAACGTGGGGAAGTTTGTAGGATACACGAAGTATGGAGTGATGAACGCTGACCGGTGGAACAAAGATACTTCACTGATCGCTGTGAGGATGGCTCAGAAGGAGGCCTACTGCCTGAACCATGTTACTGCTTTCTACCCACACATTCTGACTAAATCAGGTGAGTTGATCGTTTCCTGATTGATCCTCTGATCGATTCTGACTGATGATCATTAAACTGGATGTTTCAGGGTCACTTATTGATTATTGATTAAATAAAACATTAAACTGTGATGTCATCAAATTATCAATATTGATCTCTGATCATGGATCTGATCAGCCAATCTATAGAGATCCAATCACTGATCAGGTTATTAATAAACTATTTGCTACTGGAGTTTAATATTAAATATCAGTATGAAACATTTTATAGTAATAAATTAATCATTAATA